TGTGTGTGTGTGTGTGTGTGTGTGTGCATGTGTGTGTGTGTGTGTGCGTGTGTGTGTGCATGTGTGTGTGCGTGTGTGTGTGTGTGTGTGTTTATGTGTGCCTACTTAAATTTAACTTATTATCTCCAGCAGGCCACTCCCATAGGCTCACAGTTAGAACCGCTGGGCTGGCAGTGGCTCGGTATCCAGGTATATTCCTTTACGATGACTTCAACGTCAAATTATTTTTCGTCAGTTGTCAAAGATAGATATTTCTTTTAGTGGGAGCTGATTCATGAGATGAAGAAGTATCAAAATAGGTTCTCTTACTTCGATTTAGCGACCAATTTAGTGACCTACGTGTCATTTTAAAATTTTATACCGAAAAAGAACCCCGGTAGAGGGGGTTAATTTACTACCCCGCCCCTCCCCGGAGATCAAGAGATCAAGAGTTAATATTATGGTCACCTGTGTAAGAAAACCACTATACGAATGGTCACTTTCTTTTTCTCCCTTGCATATTTTTTACATTATAATGACATTGTGTAAGACATCGACCTGTCTAAGACAACTACTGTTCTCCTCAACTATTTCTTGTATAGTAAGTAATATACCAAAAACCTGTTTTTATTTCTCTAGCCTGTGACACACAAATTGAAGCAATCTTGTAAAAAATACCTTTCTTTTGCACTGATGAAGCAACTTTCAATTTGGCTGATTGTAAGGTATGTTTTGTTGTGCAAGGACTTATATTGAAAATTCCTTAAAAAAATTTTTTTTTTTTACGGTAGGCTACTCGCGAACTTGAAAGTAAAAACTTTTGTAAAATCTAAATGACGTATTCTAGAGTTGGTTAGGTGATGTCGTCTTTTTCATATTAAATGTTTGTTTGGATCTTATTTGAGTTTAACATTGGTTTGCTGATGTTGTCTTTCTGATATTAATTTCACGTTTCTTTTGGTTTTATTTGAGTTAACATTAGTTAGTTGATGTTGTTTTCTTTTATATAAATATAAATCAAGTATGTTTCTTTGGGTTTTATTCAAGTTAAATGAAGCGCTCGTCTTATTTTAAAAACAGTTCACAGACTACTTAAAGTTCCGCTTTGGAAAGGCACAGACTGCATTTATTTCTTTGAGCTGGATTTGGAGAACGAGGGATATCTCACTACGGACAAAGCTGAGAGTTTTCAACTCAAATGAGAAGTCAGTCTTGTTGTATGGATGTGAGACGTGGAACGCATCTCAGATGTTCATAAAGAGGATCCAGGTTTTCTTGAACAAGTGTCTGAGGAAGCTACTGAGGATCAGATGGAAAGACAGGATCACCAACGAGGAAGTATTAAGAAGAACGAGACAGAGCTCAGTCAGAGTTGAGGTGGAAAGAAGACGTTGGCGATGGATTGGACACCCTTTTACGAAGTCAAGCGGCTGCATAACAAGGAAAATGCTAGATTGGAACCCATAGGGTAAAAGATCAAGAGGAAGACCACATGGAACCTGGAGAAGAGTCACGGAAATGGATGTACAGAAAAGTGGGAAGACATGGAGTGACGTCAAGCGACTAGCCCAGGATAGGGAAAGGTGGAAAGTGTTTGTTCGTGGCCTATATCCTGATCCAGAGTGAGAAAGGCAATGATGATGATGACAGACTTCTTGTATACTTTTTATACTGAGCTGTAGGTCTTTGAATATTCGAATTTGTGTCCTATGCATATATGGCTACAAGTGTCTAGCCCCCTTCAGATGCTGGTCAGCGGAGAGAACCACAGTTATCATATAACGGATTTTTGAACAATGGTTTTGATTTGTGAAGGAGTTAGTCTGTAGCTCTGCCCTAACTCTTATTCGAATTGTTTAAATGTGGTGTCCATGGCATAGTGGTTACTAAAGTTAGGCTCTCAGACTCGAAACAGTAAGGTTGTGGGTTCAAATCCCACGAGGGGCAGGATGATGTGTCCTTGCAAAAGGTTTTTTAACACCAATTTTTCTCATGTCACCCAGGTGGGAATGGGTGCCCAGCTATAGGCTGCAAATGATGTTGTTAGTTTGTTAATGTTTGAGTGCTTAATAATCTTTTGGCTCTGTATGCTTCCCGAGAAGCCAAGAGTGTTTCTGAGTATTCTTGGGTCTTCTAGGGTAATAATAATATAATATAGTGTAACGCTCGAGAGCTTGCAGTTATGTGGCGATATATACTATGCAAATGCTATTTATTTATAATTAAATGTTCTATTTTTTTCCTGTCTCCTTAGGGCATTTATAAACGCTGGGTCCCCTTTGTCTACTATGTCAAATGTCTCTGTGTCGGGGAACTGCCTCAGCAACTTGAAGTATTACTACACAGCTTTACAGAGGAGGAAAGCTTGGGCATGGAAAAGTAAGTGACACAGTCGACATCTGAGGGGTTAGATGTGGTGTCAGTGGCCTAGTGGTTAGGCTCTCAAACTCGCAACCGTAAGGTCGTGGGTTTGAATCCAGTCAGGCGCCTGATGTTGTGTCCTTGGGAAAGGAACTTCACACGAATTTTCCTCACTTCATCCAGGTGAAAAAAGGTACCCAGCTTTAACAGTGAAAGATCTTGTTGGTTTGTTAGTGTTTGAGCACCTGAAATCTGCAGCTTGCACTGTATGCTTCCCGGGAAGCCGAGAATGTTTCTGAGTATTCTAGGGTCTGCTAGGGTAATAATAGAGGTGAAGCGTAAATGAATGTTTCTGTGTTTCTTTATTAACGAAATAACCAGTTGAAACCAATATGATTGCTTTAAAATCAGCTGCTTCTGTTGCATGCCGTGAACAAACGTATAATTGCTTGTTATCCAATCACTCTTATATTGTCACCACTAACAACAATAGTAACCTAACACCTAATTCAAATTTCTTTAAGGCTCAGCAAAGTATATGCCCGTTCCCAAAGTACTTTCTTTATGAAACTTTTCTTGTAAAATGGTAAAAGGTTAGAAAAACAAAAAAGAACTCATGGAAACTGTAGCTGAGAGTGCTAAAATACTCTCCAAGCCCTGACAATAGGATGAAAGTTCATGATACACTTTCCCAGGAGACCCAGTAACCAACTGTCCATTTTCTTGCTAATTTTACCTCTGACACTAGGCGACCCTTACCTCCTGCAATGGCAGATATCTCAACTATTTAATATAGATGGGCAATTTTTTCACCTTAAGTCTAAAGCAAAGCAAATGAACAAAAAAAAAAGCTTTAAGATAATACGAATAACTGTATATGTCCAAAAATCGAAGAGCGCCTGATTCCACCGTGTTGTGACATATTTTGTACTAAGTTCTCTCTTCTCTCTCTCTCTCAGTGTATGATGCTACTGGCAAACAGTCCTCGGGTGTGTTCTTGGGAGCCACGACCTGGACCGGCAACTACGAAGAATGTCTCGACCACTTCATCAACTACCAGCGCATCCGAGGCCTGAACCAGCGTCCAGAGAAGGTCACGGACGTTGGCCCAGTGACCCCTCATTACTGCAGCGTGCACATGACGCATGCCCCATGGATGCCACAAGTGATCGATGCATATGTAGGTAGATCAGTGGAATAAAGATGTTGTCTCTTGTATGGTGGGAAGGGATTGTTATAGAACTGGGTTTGCGAAAAAGAATCTAAACTACCCTAGGATCAGGAAGTGAAGGGAACACGAAAAAAAACCCTGAAGGCACTGGAATATCTCATATTCCCGTTGATTTCTAGAGATTGCAGTCTCTACTTACCATCGCTTGATTTTGAATTCCTTTTTTTTCTTTTTTCTTTCCTCTTATATATTGAGGGAAAATCAGTTTTAGAATTTAGCTCTTATGACAGGTCATGGAGGTGAGAGGAAAAATATTATGAAAAATTAGAGAAGTTTAAAACTCTTTTCACATTCGAATCTTACACTTTTGAGTGTTATTTAAATTAAACTTGAAAGCAAATGTTGTAAATTAATTGTTGTGAAATTATTTTTGCTTCAAGACTAAAACCACCCATATATAATATTGTCACCCTTGTGATAAAACCATTGAATTCTCAGCAGAGTAAATTTTACAATAGAAGCAAAAAATCTGTTCGATATTGCTATTCAGCAACATGGTGGCCGGTGGGATGTTTGGCTTTATTTCTAACATTCTAACATAAGAGCATTTCTAATCGAAATACAGACCTGTCTTTGATTAAGCATATGAACAGGATAATAATTACTATTAATTCATGAAAGTAAAATATTTGTTCTTGTTTTTGTGGGTTAGCCGGTCATATTGCAATGGTGACAATATGGACTAAAACAGATGGAAGTGTCAAACATTATAAGGCTCACCCTGTTTTACTAACCAATTGGTGTTATTTACATTTACGTAGGATAAGGCATGCGAGGGGAAAAAAGTCTTTGCTTCAAGACTGTTTACTTCAGTGTCTCAGCTGTGATTTTATGACTTTGTCGGTTGCATTTCTCTTTGATTTTTGCTTCTGTTGAAGTGTTATGATCTTATTCATGAATTGTGCAATTGGTATTGCATGTTCAAGTTCTCATGGGTGGTTGGAGGCTGCCACTAGTACAATTTACTTCTTTACCATTCTTGTATTTCAAAAAAAATTCTGTCTGTCAGTCTTGCTTTCTCCCATCGCTAAGTTATGTGTTGATGTGGTGATGTACTTCTCTTGATTCAAACTCAAAGCTCTCAAAGCTGAAGAACCAATAGTGGCTGGTTGATGGGTGCTCTGGTGTGGTTTGTTTCTTCTTTCCTATCAAACATCTATTGTTCTTATCTCCCCTTCTTCTTTTTCATGTTTGTTACTCTCTTGTGACACCTCTAATCTTCTGGCGCTCATATGACCTTATGCAGTTGCGAGCGCAGTAAAATCTCTACTAAAACAAAACTAAACAGAAGAACCAATAGCTTCCAGTTTAGTTTCCATGTTGAAAGATGTCATGGCGTTTAAGTTTAGTCTTTTAACTGTGGAAAAATTATATAATTTTAAAAAACATTATCACCCATGGTTTCTCTCTGTCCTTATCTTAGGATAACTGTGTCTTGAAATTGGGTATCATTTGCAATCTCTTGGATCTACTCTGATTACTGCTGTTTCACATCACTATGAATTATACTCCTATTTCAGAAGCATGTCAATGTGAGTTGAATTGGCAAAAAACGCCTGGGTTACTTTGCTTTATAAGCTTTAATGCATCCAATGGGGTTTCAAAAGACGCGTATGCCTTTCGACTTAAAGCTAATGTGCTTTGATCAAATTAAAATTTTTTAATACATACGCCTAAGAAATCAAGATGTGCTTTTTCAAGATATTATTTTGAAAATGTATGCTTTGTAGCTTGTCCTTCAGTGGGTTGAGGTGTTTGTTTGTATGTGGTGGTGTTTGGGATGGGAAGGAAGAGGGAGAAAGGGCTGGAGATAATAAATAACCCCACTCTTTCAGAAACCGCCCTTTCAGTGGCGAAATGTCAATAATGAACATCTCTGCTTGATGCACAAGTGTGACAATTAGTTTGGTGAATTGTTTGCCTTCTTCCTTCTGCTTTCTTATGGTTCGAAGTGAACTGGCATCTGTTGTAAGTGTAATGGTTAGGCTCTTTGACTTGAACTCAGAAGATGTGATTTAAATTCCTGAGGTGCAAAGTTTTTTAAAATCTCGTACAGTCGAATCTGCCATAAAAAAACCTGTACAAATGATCATTTCCTGCTCCTAAATTGTATATTTTTCAACGCATGCTGGCAGCAACTGGTAGGCTCAAGCAGACAACCTCTTAAATGATTTTGGGGAGGGGGGGGGGGAGACAGCTGAAGGCTATCTCGCTTATTAGCTCTTCAAATAAAATCCACAATCAAATGTGAGAAAAAAAAGTTTGTTTTCATAGATACGGTGCCATATTGGATTTTGTTGACATGTCTTACTTAATTAATATCGCACTTATTTTTCATGGAAATAAATTGGTTTTTTTGCATGCTTCTTGGCTAACAATAGATCTACAAAATCTGTGTGATTAATTTTTCCTAAACGTACTAGAAAGTTTTGAATGAATTTTTTCCTGAGGTTATAGTTTTCACATTTGCAAAAAGTCCGTGAAAATCCACCCTCGAAACACCACCAACAAAAAACTATTCTATGTATTAAAAATCCATCTCTCAGGTTTTTAGTATTACATCTTTTCTTCATTCTGTGAAAATTTTGTGAAGATTGGATAAAAAATTGGGGAGGTATATAAAAAAGTATATAGAAAAACCCTTTTCCGAGAAAATGGGCGATAAAGGAAAATAAAAGATTGACTTTATGAGGAAATGGTGGTGACAAACATGCCCGGTATGGGAACAAATAAGACTTTAGGGGGTTCTTGTGCAATGAAATAGTTGTAAGAAAGGATGAAGAAGCTCTAAATGCCTTCAATTTAAAATCTATAGTTTTGAGCCGAGCCGAATGTGGACTTTCGAAGTGCCCCCTCCCCCCCCTTTAAGAAATGTTTGTGGGGCATACGATGGCTACATTCTTTATAATCCTTAGTAGCCCTGGAAACATAAATAGCGCCTTGGCTCTTATGTGACCATAAATTGCATCAATAGCATTTGTGAGGCAGCGTGGTGGAATCAGGCGCTCGTCAAAATAATCAAAGTGAAGAAACTTGCATTTTTCCACAGGTTTGTTAATTTTTATCAAATTTTTGTTTTTTGGCTCAACACCTTTCATGCCTATTAAAGAACTCATTTCTGTGTGGATTTTTCTGAAAAGCGTTGATTTAAGGCACAAAAATATAACTTTTCAGTTTCCGTGGACTCTTAAGCTAAGGAAATAACTCATCTTTGGCGGCCAGTTTCTCTCTAATTTTACCTCTGAAAACAGGTGACCCCCACCTCGTTCTTTCGCAAATATCTCATCTTGTATTCAAGATAAATGGATATTGTTTTCATCCAAATAAAGACAAGAGAATAAGCTTTAAGGTGATACAAATAACCCTACATACCCCAATTGACGAGAGCCTGATTCCACCACGCTACTTCACATTTTAAGACGAATACTTTAACTAACAAAACCAAACTATTCCCTAAAAATTTGAGCTGAATTTACTTTCATCTAATTGGGAATTAAAAGTTTCTCTTCCAAATTGTTCACATGTTTTTTCGAAGTATGTTAGTGAAGCTTACTGTGAATTTGTGCTTCAGTCTTTTACAGTTTTCAATAATGTAATAATAATAATAATAAATTGTTTAATACTTGACGAAATGCTCAATGTGCATTACAATGAAGAAAATAGATAAGCAAACACATGCGGAATCTAGAGGAATTAAAAATACAACCTCTACTTGAAGAACTACACACAGTTCGACATACACTGGTACATTTAGGTTTTTGCAAGCTTGTTTTTGCAAGCTTGTTTTTGAAGCCGCTTGGGAGTTGCATCTTTTGGGATACTTGACGTTATAGGAATCTTGCTTTTTTTTCATGCACAGGATTTACAGGTTCGCAGCTGGTATCAGTTTTTGTTCTTCTTAATTAAAGTGCTTTTAGTCTTCTGTCTGTATATGTTCACGTCTGTGTGTCCCAGTAATTGCAATCGTTGCATTAGAAACCAACATAGATGAGGCTTATTTTTGTTGAAATGTGCATCCTCAAGTATAGTTTTTTCTTTTGTCTCAAAATTTGAGAGAATGTAGCTCTTGATATTGCACATTAGTGTTGATGCTGAAATGAAAAGAAAAAAAATCTACTTTGATTGAGTGTGCCTTCAGTATTATTGTTTGCATACACACACACACGCACACACACACTCACACACACACACTCACACACACACACACACACACACACACACACACACACACACTCACACGCACTCACACACACACACACGCACTCACACACACACACACACACGCACACACACACACACACACACACGCACACACACACACACACACACACTCACACACACACACACACAAATACTCAAGTAGCACATAATTTGTTGTTAACACTGCAAAACGCTCAATGGCTTTGTTTATATAATATGTGTATGCATGGCTCCACAGTTATTGTGTTACTGTGTTTATGTAGGTATGGGGATCAGTTTATATGTATGTCTTTTCATGTGTGAGGGAGTGTGAGTGTGTTCGTGTGTGTGTGTGTGTGTGTGTGTGTGTGTGTGTGTGTGTGTGTGTTCATGTGTGTGTGTGTGTGTGTTCATGTGTGTGTGTGTATGTGTTCATGTGTGTGTGTGTTTGTGTGCATTCATGTGTGTGTGTGTGTTTGTGTGCTTGTATGTGTGTGTGTTCATGTGTGTGTGCTTGTGTGTGTGCTTGTGCGTGTGTGTGTGTGTGTGTGTGTGTGTGTGTGTGTGTGTGTACTTGAGCGTGTAACCCCCCCGGAGCGGTGCCACTGACTGAAATGTCTTTAGGCCATTTCCAAAGGGGGGGACATTAACATCTCGAGTTTTTATGCACAGTAGAATTGTAATTGTAAATAGGCTGATACATCAATGTCATTATGCTCATAACTGTGCCTGACCTGCAACAGGGAACTGCTAATTTTTCTTTCCTAATCCTTACTATCGTCATTTTCCCTCTAATTCTTTTGTATGTTTTTCACACTTTTGTGACCCGTTATTTTTGGGGTGCCTTGATAGTCGAAGCTCACTTTGTTCTGTTAAAGCTAGAGAGGTGAGCAGAGTAAGTCTGATTCCCTGTAAGGACTTATCTGTTGACATCCACCCCTTGGTGCTCATATGACCTTATGCAGTTGCGAGCACAGTAAAACCTCTACTAAAATTAAAACTTGTGTGTGTATGTGTGTGTGCATGTGTGTTGCTTGCTCTTGATGGACATGTGCTGTGTAATATATTGCATGTCTTGACCTCATGCCGTGTATTTTATGTTGTTACTCTGCAGTTATCGTTGTGAGCCACTGACTGGTATGGCTTTTCTGTTTCCACTTTCTTATAAAGATTTCTTGCTGTTTATTTTCCTATGTTCCACATGCTTTGTAATAATATCTTTGTGACATTAAGCTTCTTCTGTTCACCTCTGTCTATAGTGTAATGCTTAGGCTCTCCGCTGTTACAGTGTGAGTGGTTGGTGGTTGCTCTGTTGTCCTTTGCTCCTTCTCTCCTGTCAAATGTCTATCATCCTTATCTCTCGTTCTTTTTTGTGTTTGTTACTCTCTTGAAACACTTTTAATCTTCGGCCGTTATATTACCTATTTGTGTTGATAGTACTGTAAAACACTTACTAAAACAAAGAAAACAAAGTTGATGCTCTCATGGGTTCAATTCCTTCTTTTGGAATCATTTTATCAAGCGTTTTTTGCTGGCAGGTGGTTGGAGGGTGCCACTGGTAGGTACTCCTCCTTTACTTTCCCTCTGTTGTTTCTGTCAGTCGGTCTTACTTTTTTTTAGCACTAAATGACCGTTATTGTGTGGATGTGCTTCCCTTTACTAAAAGAAACAAAAGAAACAAGCTTTTCTTGCTGTTTACTGGGATGTATTGTATTGTGACTTAAATTATGTCGTTGAAAGTGTAAAAGTGTCACAATCATTTACTCTTCTTCAACTAAAAAGACATGACTCTTAAGAGGTTTAATTCATTATCGTGGCTGTGTTTTTGTATTAGAAGTATGTCATTTATTTAAAATACTCCAGAGTTATAATCTTTTAAAGACTTTTTTATTGCATTAAAGTTTTACTTAATTTAATGCATGTTTCTTTGAAAGAAATAAAAATAAATCACACCTTTTTTTAGACCAAAAAAATGCAATTTTGCAGTTTTAAAGGACACTTCAAGCTTTGTAAGTCGCCAAACTTGGGCAGCCATCTTCTCAATGATTTTACCTCTGGCACCAAGCGACCCTGACCTCCTTCAAATCACAAGTATCTCGAATTCTATTCAAGATATTTTTGTCATCAAAAGCCAAACAAAGGAACAAATTTTAAGATTGTACCAATAATTCCAGACGCCTAAAAATTGACGTGCCTGAATCCACTGTACCATGACCCCCTTGGGCGGTGCTGCTGACTGAAGTGTCTTTAGGCCATTCCCAAATGGTTGGACCTTAACATCTTGAGTTCTTATGCACAGTAGAATTGTAAATGAGCTGATTCATCAATGTCATGCTCATAACTGTGCCTGAAGTGCAACAGGGAACTGTTGCTTTTTCTTTCCTAATGCTATCGTAATTTCTCCTCTACTTTTTTGTTTGTTTGTTACACTCTTGTGACCCGCTATTTCCGGGGTGCTTTGATAGTCGAAGCAGACTTTGTGCTGTTGAAGGGAGAGAGGTGAGATGAGAAAGCCTGATTCCCTGTAAGGACTTCTCTGTTGACATCCACCCCTTGGCGCTCATATGACCTTATGCAGTTGCAAGCGCCGTAAAATCTCAACAAAAAAAAACTACAAAAAACGTACCATGACACAAATGTTGTACAGTATGGGATGGATTAGCAAAAAAAAAGCAAGTATTAGATCTATGTCTTTTTCTTCATACAAACATAATGCAAGGTCTTTTGAAATTTTTGGTTTTGTTTGTTTTGTTTTTTTCGAGGATTTTGTATTACCTACACGCTTTTATAGTCCTAAGACGTTGAATGCTAACTGTGCTAACGTTTTTTTCTTTTCTCTTGTTTAGCAATTGCCCTTTCCAGTCCCTTACAGCCCCTTCATTGTGGATGTGTGTGTTCCTCAAAATTGCTCAGAGTTGGATATACATCAAATTGTGAATGCATGTGAGTCCTTGCTATGGCTGTTTTGTGTTTGTTTCAGTTTACAACCTACGTCTAGAAATGAACATGTTTCATTTTCTTTTTAAAATGAAAGTGTTTTACACCGTCATCAATACAATTTGGATCATTTAAGAGCTTGGCTTCCAACCCTGCCTGTCAGGGCCAACCCAGGCTTTGAGGAATACAACATCCCAGCAGAAAGACTGAGATACTCGATCAAATTTCTCCCCTCTCCGGAAACAAACTTAGGTCTCTTGCATGAGAAAGCAAAGTACCCTACTGCTACACCACAGACACTGATGTGGCTCTTTTGTGTTTGTCTGAGTAAGAAAATCTTGCCATTTTAGAGTTCTGTGATTAGAATTACAGCATTTTGGAGACAAGATGCATCGACCCTGTCTGTGAAGATCAACCTGGGCTGTGAATGATTTAACATCCCAACAGAAAGTGGAGATCTGGATTAAAATTCTTGTTTGTTGGGAATCAAACTCGCTTCTCCTGTGTGTGATGGTGAAACACCTTACGGTTACACCTAAAATGCAAATTTTCATTGAGAGACGGAAGCTGCAATAATTGTATCTTTAACTGTTGTAAAGCATAGTCACAACTTTTTGTCTTTCAGTGCAAGGAGACTATTCGTTTTTAATACAAAAATCTGAAAGCAAATTGAATACAACTGGGTGCCGTAGGAATTTGTAAATCATAGGAGCTTTCTGTTGGTGGAAGTCACAACTCAGAAATATTTTTGAGACTTTACTTTGTTTGAGAGATATCAATGAGATAGCTTAACAGCTAGAACAATCAGTTCAGTGTAATGGAGAGAATAGTTATCAATTTTCCAGTGTTCACTGCTTCTTCCATTTCTTTTTAGCTTTAGTTGTGTCTGAATCTTTTTACTCAGGTGAAATTTGGCCGTTTCCCAACTTACTTGCATTTTAAAAGTGTTTTCGCTCAAAAGGTTCAAAACTGTTTTCTTAACCCTATCCGTACATTGTGTTTTACTATCGTATCCATACGACGTGGGAAACTCTGTGCCATCACTGTCCAAAGAGGAAATTTACTCGTTAATTCGATCTGTACTCTTTGCATAGCAGTCTGTCAAAATAATTTTTGTGAGAAATACTGAAAGTTTTCAAAGAGATCTTCATACTAGAAGTATTCTAAAATGTGAGGAAAACAACCGCGGGGTTCAAAATGACCCCAGGGCGTACGGATAAGGTTAAAAGGTTTTATTCAGAAAATAACATTGCCTCTAGTATCAATCTTAGCCATTGCTTTTTTGCATGTATGTACAGCAAATAAATATACATAAGGATTTTGTAAAAAAAAATTCCTTTTTTTTCTTCTCTGTCTCAGTTTTGAAATTGGATTACAGTGGCGACAACATTACAGTGTCATCAGTAACGTGTCATCACCGTCGTCCGATCTCAGAGGATGTACCAGCTCTTCTGTCAGCGTGAGTCTGAGTCCTTCCGTGTTGATTATAGGACAAGTTGTGCTGTATAAGTGGATTATAGGACAAGTTGTGCAGTATTAGTGGATTATAGGACAAGTTGTGCAGCATTAGTGGATTATAGGATAAGGTGTATTGTTTATTAAATTGTAGGATAAGGTATACAGTATAATCAGATTGAAGAATAAGATGAACATTTTGATAGGATTATAGGCTCAGATGTACATTATTGTTTGATTGTAGGATAAGATGTACATTACTATTGTATTAAATAGTTTGTTTTAGTAGACGTTTTACGGCTCTTGCAACTGCATAAGGTCATATGAGCACCAGTGGGTGGATGTCAACAGAGAAGTCCTTACAGGGAATCAGGCTTACTCTGCTCACCTCTCTAGCTTCAACAGCACAAAGTCTGCTTTGACTATCAAGGCCACCCGGAAATAGTGGGTCACAAAAGTGTGACATACATACAAAAGAAGTAGAGGAAAATGACGATCGTAAGGATTAGGAAAGAAAAAGCAGCAGTTCCCTGTTGTAGTTCTGGCACAATTATGAGCATGACATTGTTGGATCAGCCCATTTATGATTCTACTTTGCCTTAGAACGAGAAATGTCCCTCCTTTGGGAATGACCTAAAGACACTTCAGTCAGTGTCTCCCCCCCGGGGGGTGTTTTAAATAGGATAAGGTGTACTTCATTGTTGGATTTATAATATGGTGTACATGATGCCAGGATTATAGGATATAAGGACAAAAGCATTATTATTGGATAAGATGTGTATTATTTTCATGAATTCATTTCTTTTTGTTTCACGACGAAGCAGCACTGCTGTAAATAGGTAATAAAAGAATGGCTGTCTGCCAGCCCCTTATCGTTTAATGATTGCAAATTGTATGGATTTTTGGGTGTAGAAGATTTACATACGCACATAAACAGTCAATCAGCGCCTGCAGTGATTGTCTCTTTCACATTAGATCCAGTTCTTCCAGAACTGAACCTTTAAGCATTTTAGTAAAAGTGTTACGGCACTTGCAACACAATTAGGTCGTATAAGTGCTGAAGATTTGAGGTGTAACTGGAAAGAAACTTGCTAACAAAAGAAGGGGTAAGGAAAAGATAAGAATGATAGATATTTGATAGGAAAGAAGGAACAAACCACACCAGAGCACCTGGCAATCACCCACAATAAACCTTAAAGCAGTAGGTTGCGAGTTCTTCAGTATCACTGCTGAGCTCCAAACACCACTTGTCATCATCTTAACTGAATAGGCCTAACTATTACTAAAAGAGGTGTATCATACTGTGTATTGTACTCTGCATTCATTATCTTTTTTGTCTCACTACCTCCAGGATCTTCTTATTTCTTCTCCTGACCCTCGTCGTCTTGGGAACAGCTTTCGACATATTCCGACGGCGCCGCAAGCTGAGAGTAAAGTATGGGCCTGAGATCACCATTGGTTACGACGAAGAGACGGATAAGTTTGGCGTCCTAAAGATTCTGCTGACACCCAGGTATTGATGTTGGGAAAGTTATAGCAAGCGGTTTTCCCAAAAGTAATAATAATAAAACAGTGAAAATAGGATGCAATGAACTCGGATTCAAGAAAATGAGACAGATTCCCTGGAGGGGGGGGGGGGTGGGGAAGGAGGGGGTTGTACTTATTAAAATCTACAAAGATGTCTCAGATCACATAGAGAAGCAAACTTGGATTCAATGAAGTCGTTTGTCGGGTAACCCCCCCCCCCCCCCCCGCGTTGATGTGGCTTCTCCCGCTGCAGAGCGTGATACTCTCTACTCTATTCCAAGGGACCATCGACCACACATGCGCCATGGATCATCACACGATAAGGTTAGCCTATTGTATACATCTTATGCGACCAGTCAGAAGCCTTCTTTCACACCAGTGCATGCGTTGATGACATGCGCATAAGACATGATGTGTCCTGGCGTGTGCTGAGGTTGGGACAGGCTGGAAACGACAAATAAAGTTTTTGGGACACCTGAACAGACATAACATAAAGGTCTTGAACATCTAGCTCTCACTGGCAAAATTGAAGGCAAATGAGGAAGGGGTAGGCTCAGAGCAACCTACTTAGGGAACCTAAACAAATTGGTAACGAGGAAAGATCAGGGAAATGTAGAGCATCCGAACAAAGGAATGAATGGAGAACCTTGATCGCCGATGTCTGTCGCAGATCTGGCACTGGATGGTGATGATGTCCCACGTTCCGCAATGAGAGGTTTGAGGGTATTATTAGATATACTACACCAAATCCAGCCACACTTGATGTAATTTTGTTTTTTTGTTAGATAATCTGATGTTATAACGTTGAGTGTCCTTGAGTGGGTTTAGAAAAAGTTTGCAAGTTTACTTACTTAGAGAAACAAGGACCAGCTCGATGTGATCTTCCTGATGCATGAAGAAATCAGGGGGTTGAACTTTATTGTTGCTATTTCTTTTTCATCCAGGAAAAGAAAAGGTCGTCGTGGGACGTTGTCTTCCTCAGAGCTCCTGGACAGCACCCTGATCAAGGACACTCAGCTGAACGGTAGCTCGACGGACCGCCACACCTCCTCTCGTCGACGGACTGTCTCAGAATGTGCCTCGGGAGATCCGGCCACAAGGCCACTGTTCCAGCGCATGTCTAGTGCCCCGGCCCACGCGGATCTGCAAGTGAGGGCTTTTTTTTTTCTTTTCAGTCCATGTCCCATTTTTAGGTGCCATACCCATGATCCTGATGGTTCCTATAGGAACACATAATGCGGAAAGAAGCATTAGAGAATATTGTAACAACAGGCAAGTTTGATGGAAAGAGAGGCAGAGGCAGACAGAGGGAAAAGATACTGGACAAGATGACAACATGGCTAGGAGCAGCAAGAACAACAGACACCATTGCTGCAGGGCAAGGCAGAGTGAAGTGGAGGTCCATGATTGCCCACGCCAGTCGGCAAGGCACCGGATGATGATGATGAGTTGTCATAAGAACTGCATTTGTCGATTCTTAATTGTTTTTGTTAGTTACTGACCCATATAGGCCTCCTCAGTATTTTATTAATCTAATTAATGCAACCGGAGTCGAGAAATTGTGCTTATTTTAATTCATACATTCATCACTTCTTTATGGGACAGTTCCCTGCTCTTTGATGAAAAAACATAATACTCTGTACCAACTTGATACTGCAACATGCAGATTAACCCTATCCGTATGCCTTGGGGTAATTTTGTACCCCTGGGGCTGCATTCTTCACATTTTAGAATACTTCTAGCGCGAAGATCTCTTTGAAACTTCCTGTATTTCTCAAAAAATCATTTTGACAGACTGCTGTGCAAAGCGTACAGATTCGATTAACGAGTAAATTTCCTCTTGGGAAAGTGGTAGCACAGAGTTCCCCATGTCATATGGATACGATAGTAAAACATGAAATACTGATAGGGTTAAATAGCCGATGGAGAAGCAACTGGTTTTTATCGAAGTTCTGCCTTCTTGTGGAGATTTCTTAAAAAGTGTTTTTTACACCTTCATCGACACAGTTTAGATTACTTTTTGTGGAGACAGAACCATATTATTTTTGGGATATGAAATGTATGGATGATAATCCTCTGTGTGCGGCAGCCACTTTTCTCTGAATTTTTCCCGAATTTTGGAACTTATTTTATGGTTCAAACTCTCTTTGTACTTTTGCCCTGAGTTTTAGGCATTTATTTCCCCTGTCGACAAGTATGAAATCCTCTCATTTCTTGAAGTTGTGCAACAGTAGAGAAGCCATCTCTCCTTGTGAAAATCATTGTACCTAAATTACAGTTTAGGTCAACCCTTACGAACTTTTGTGTTTATTTTGTTGTGGTTTGTGCTCTCAGATAAAGGCACATATGGCTACTTTAACTAATTATTTACTTAGGCACGCCCTCAAAAGCTATGCTTTACAGCACAAATGTCAAACTCAAGGATCATGGGCCTCATTTGGTGTGGTGAACAATCATATCTGGCCTGTGAGAGAATTTAAGGTAGTCCATTTTGAGAAATTCTATTACTCAGAACCTCACACAAAACATAAACAAACTTGTTGCCAGGAAAAGTTACCAAAATTTCAACTTTGACCAACAGGTGTAAGGGGGAATATTGGTTTGTCTTGATTTATTATTACATGTATTTTAACTTTTGTTTGTTTTAATACATATCATTCTTTATAAAAGATTTAGTTTCCCCACTGTTCAATGAGTGTTTATCCAGTTCGCCCTGCAAGTGTAACTGTAGTTTGGCCCCCAAAGTGAATGAGTTTTACACCCCTGTTTTAAAGTCATTGACCCTTTGTGTAAACAGTGCTAAAGTAAAACTGTTCTGTGTGAGCACTAAATCATGCTCAATGCTTTTAGGGAATCATTTTTACAGACACTGGCGTTTGTGGTATTGTAGTTATGCTCCCTGTCATTACATGCAGAAGACATGAGTTTGAATCCTGTGTGTGGAAGAATTTTTTTTAGAGCCTCTAAGTCTTTCTTTCTGCTGAGACAATGTATTCCTCTCAGCCTGGGTTGACCCTGATAAGCAGAGTTGAAGCCCACTTCCTAAATGATCTAAATGAATTATGTTGATGGAGGACATGAAACCCCTTTTTTTTTTTCAAAAAGAAAGAAAAAAAATCTGTAGACAGCGTGATTCATATAATTTATCCTTTTGGGTTATTTACCAGGACATCCCAGAAGACATTGAGATAAAAACGCTGTCAGAGCGCGTGGTCAGTCCAGCGACCGCTGCGCTAGGTTCCGGCTCAGTGATGAGCGATGATGAGTCAACGGGTTTCTCGTCTGACCCGAGTGTGGCAGAGATAGGGGAGAGCCGGGGCAATGTGCCTGCGCTGTCAGACTCTGACGGCAGCTGTAGCCCTGTTCCATGTGAGAGAGAAGCTGGATATAATCGGAAGGCCAGTATTATTGAAGTGCGGCCGTCTCACCGAGTGAAAAAACTCACTTCTTCGGGTATGTGTTGATCTTCGAGTACGACGTGTTGATGGTTCTGTGTGTTGTTGTCGTTGTGTTATTGTCATCAAGTTAAGGTATCACTGTGCCATCTGTGGGTGGTTGACGGGTGCTCTGGTGTGGTTTGCTCCTTCTTTCCTATCAAACTTCTATCGTCCTTGTCTCCCCTCCTTCTTTTTTGTGAATGTTACTCTCTTGTAACACCTCTAATATTCGGCACTTATATGACCTCCTTGTGTTGCAAGTGCCATAAAACTCTTACTAAAACTAAAGTAAACTGTGTCATCTTGTAGATTTTTTTCTTCAAATTGTTGATGTGTCTCAGTGTTGTTGTCAGTGTATTGATGTGATGATTGTTGATGTTTCGCTGTGTCCCGTTGTTGTCTTTCATTTCATGATATCATTGTTGATGAAACAATACAATGAGAAATACTGAGTGAATCTTGGTATTATTGTTGTTGTTGTTTTCACAGTGTCATAATGAAACAACACAATCAGGTAAACTGAGCTGAAGTTGGGGGACTTCCACAGTTTGATTGTTCTTTGAAACTGCAAATTTATATTATTTGTGCCTTTGATCGTCAGTTTGGAATTTTAAAAAAAATGTATACATATAAGGTGTTGAACCAAAAAAAAGAACTCCTTATAAATTGCCCCAATGGGCTGAAAATATCGGTCTCTTCAAATTAATTATTTTGACAAGCACCTGATTTCACCACAATGCAACTCATATTTCTTTTTTTTTTAAAATTTTGCAGAAAACCTGTTCACAGATCTGCTGCTTTCGTTTTCGTTCCGGAAGAACACACGACACATCCTGGCTGAGGGCTCAGGGGACACGCTGTTCTGCCTCAATGGTGTCCGTGTCCTCAGCATTACCTGGATTGTACTGGGAAATGTCTATGGAATTATCTATCAGAATCCTGCAGTTGTAGGTGGGTGGGCTTTGCATGTTTGTGTGTCTGACACATTTCTCTTTGAACAATAGGGGGCTTTCATGGTCTGTCTAGTGGAACTTTGTCCGCCTCTCATTCAGTCAGCCTCAACCCTGATCTCATGGTAAGTAAGATCGAACACCTAGCCTTCTCGGGTAGGGGCAAACAAATTTTGGTGGTCCTGTGTGCAAGCTGCGCTCATTAAAGATCCCTTGGTGGTCCAAAAATTGATAAATGTAGGCTTCGGTCATCATTTGGGCAAAAGTCAAAATTAATTCATACCAAACTGAAAATGTTTAATGTGTCATGTGCGCTCAAATGACCTTATGCAGTTGTAAGCGTCGTAAAACTATTGCCAAACAAATATCTTTGTACAATATTGCCTCACCATTCCTCTCCCCCTGCTGCTTTCCTTTTCCTGAATCACATTCGACACGTCCTGGATTGTACTGGGAAATGTCTATGGAATTATCTATCAGAATCCAGCAGTTGTACGTGGGTGGGCTTTGCGTGTTTGTGTGTGTGGCGCATTTCTCTTTATACTCTAGGGGGCTCTCGTGGTCTATCTAGAGGTACTTTTTTCGTCTCTCATTTAGTACTGTCTTGCAGTCACAACCCTGATCTAAGTGTTCTAAGGGTAGGTAAGATCAAACACCCAGCCTCCTCGGATAAGGGCGAAAAAATTTCAGAGGTTCTGTGTGCAAGCGGCACACATTAAAAATCCCTCAGCATAACCTGGATTGTACTGGGAAATGTCTATGGAATTGTCTATCAGAATCCAGCAGTTGTAGGTGGATGGGCTTTGTGTGTTTGTGTGTCTGGCACATTTCTCTTTGTACAGTAGGGGGTTCTCGTTGTTTATGTAGAGGTACTTAGTTTACCTCTCTTTCAGTGCTGTCTTTCAGCCACTATCCTGATCTTAGAGTAGGTAAGATCAAACACCTAGCCTTTTTGGATAAGGGTGAAAAAACATTGGAGGTCTTGTGTGCAATCGGCGCACGTTAAAAATCCCCTGATGGTCCAAAAATCCATAAGAGTTAGCTTCGTTCGCCACCCAGGCAAAATTCAAAATTAGTTCCTACCAAACTGTTTATGCTTAATGTGCCCCGCTTGCTCATTAGACGTTATGTAGTTGGGAGTGCTGTAAAACATTTACCAAACAAACATCCTTGTACAATATTCCCAACACCATTCCTCTCCCCCTGCTTCTTTCCTTTTCCCTCTGGAAGAAAAAGCGACACATCCTGGCTGAGGGCTCAGGGGACACGCTGTTCTGCCTCAATGGTGTGCGTGTGCTCAACATTACATGGATTGTACTGGGAAATGTCTATGGAATTATCTATCAGAATCCTGCAGTTGTAGGTGGGTGGGCTTTGTGTGTTTGTGTGTCTGACACATTTCTCTTTGTACAATAGGGGGCTCTCATGGTCTGTCTAGTGGAACTTTGTCCGCCTCTCATTCAGTCAGCCTCAACCCTGATCTCATGGAAAGTAAGATCGAACACCTAGCCTTCTCTGGTACGGGCGAACAAATCTCGGCGGTCCCATTTGCAAGCTGCGCTCATTAAAGATCCCTTGGTGGTCCAAAAATTGATAAATGTAGGCTTCGGTCATAACTTGGGCAAAAGTCAAAATTAATTCCAACCGAACTGAAAATGTTAAACGTGTCCTGTGCGCTCAAATGACCTTATGCAGTTGTAAGCGTCGTAAAACTATAACCAAACAAACATCTTTGTACAATATTCCCAACACCATTCCTCTTCCCCTGCTGCTTTCCTTTTCCTTCCGGAAAAACAAGCGACACATCCTGGATTGTACTGGGAAATGTCTATGGAATTATCTATCAGAATCCAGCAGTTGTAGGTGGGTGGGCTTTGCGTGTTTGTGTGTGTGGCACATTTCTCTTGATACAATAGGGGGCTCTCGTGGTCTATCTAGAGGTACTTTATTCGTCTCTCATTTAGTACTGTCTTGCAGTCACAACCCTGATCTAAGTGTTCTAAGGGTAGGTAAGATCAAACACCCAGCCTCCTCAGATCAGGGCGAAAAAATTTCAGAGGTCCTGTGTGCAAGCGGCACACGTTAAAAATCCCTTTGTGGTCCAAAAATCCATAAAAGTAGGCTTTGGTCGCTACCCGGGCAAAATTCAAAATTAGTTCCTACCAAACTGATTTTGCTCAGTGTGATCCGTACGCTCATTTGACCTTATGTAGTTGGGAACGCCACCGTAAAACACTTACCAAACCAACATCTTTGTGCAATATCCTCCACACCATTCCTCTACCCCAACACATACACGAACAAACAGGAGCAACACACTCGTTGGGGGTTGGTGGGTGCTTTGATGTGATTTGCTCCTTCTTTCCTATGAAACGTCTATTGTCTTTGTTTCTACTCCTTTTTTTATGTTTGTTAGTCCCTCTAATGTAACATCAATAATCTTCTGCACTTATATGATTTTGTTGTGTTGCAATTGCCGTAAAACTTTTACCAAAAAACCCTGTCACATCGCAGTTGGCATTTCATGGGCTGAAAGAATAATGCAGTGGAGCTGGATGGAATCCTTCAAATATAACATGGACTTATTTTGTTGGCAAGCTGTTAAAATTTATTAGGCCCATAAAAGAAAACTATTTAGGAGAGCAAATAAAGTGTTTCATTATTTTAACAAAATGAACCTACAGTTTGTTGTATTTTATCTCGCTTATTTTCAACATTTAGCTTTCGAATTTCATCCAAACATTTCTTGAGCACATGCAACCTATACTGCATATTATAAACTGTAATAAAAATGATAATTTTAATTCAAAATTTTGGGCGTAATACATTTTAACAGCTGGCCTACAATATGACAATATCGTCTGTATTGCAAGCAATCCATTTGAATTCGTTTGGGTACTTTGTACAAAAAAAACTAGGCTTTGTTGTGTTGTTCCTATCAGGAATCATGAAAATTTTAAAAAGCAAGAAAATTGTAAGCCTTGACCAAAGCATTCAACTGCATTTTGGTGATGTTGAAAGGTGCCTCTTTAATAGACCTTTGGGAGGATGTAAAAATGGAAAATTCTGAAGATTGCGACAGTGACGATATCCTAGACCATGTACTCTGACATGTTTGTAGTTTGCTACGAAGTGCACCATTTGATTCACTTTTGAGCCAAATGTTCTCCTTTTGACTCACTTTTGAACCAAATGTTCTCCATTTGACTCACTTTTGAACCAAATGTTCACTATTTGACTCAGTTTTGAGCCAGATGTGCACCAATTGACTCAGTTTGAACTAAATGAAGGGTGGGAGGAGGGGGGGGGGAAGGTGCTGAATGCCCTCGACAGTAGCGACACTGGTGTTTTTGCCCTTTATTTTGGCATGGCGGCACCGTCCATCGTTTGCATGCTTCAAAGGGAAGTTACTCTAGAGGAGAGCAGAGAGCAACATTTATGACAGAATATGGTCAAGGACTACAATGCTTAGGTGTTTTTTGGTATTGCATTTGGTTTGTAATAATTTTACTCTGACAATTCCTTAACACTTTGCGGTCACTTGGCGCAATAATGCCCAGGTGAAAATTGTCTGTTCTGGTCACCTGGCGGAACTGCGCCGGGCCCAAGAAGTCCATTGCAGTCACTTTCCTGGCTGGGTGACCAAACGGGGTATTTTGTACCTCTGGCTGTGTGACTGCAAAGTGTTAATGTGTAATTGGAAGGATTTTTTATTCGCTATTTCCAAGATATTTCTTTTTGTCATCTTGAAATGTTTCAGGCTCCATAAGGATACCTTCGTGTTCATGTTCCAACAATGAACAGAAATCATCTTTTCTCTTTTTTTTTTGTTTTGTTTTTGTAACCAGACAACCACGTTTCGGCAGTGAAAATGACTCAGTCATTGTGGATGCAGATGGTGATCAATACTACTCTAGCCGCTGACTCATTCTTCATCCTCAGGTCAGTGCTTGGAAGTATTTTTGTATGTGTGTGTAAGTGTGTGTGTGTGTGTGTATGTGTTTATGTGTATGTGTTTGTGTATATATTGTATATATAATGAATATTTGTGTATGTGTATGTGCGTGGTCCTATGTATGTGTGTGCACATGTGCATGTGTGTATAAGTGTTTGGTAAGGAGTGGGTTGTGGGAGGGGGGGGTACTTCTGAAAACTTGTCACATCTACTACCTCTCCCTCTTCCTTTCCCACACCCTTGATGTGTTTTAACGCAATACCCTCCTAGATAAAGGCAATTTTGAAGGACAGAGCCGGAGATAGGAGAAGAGAAACAGAGAGGAAATAAGTCAACGTGACAACACACCAAAGGGAATATTTCATATGTCATAGATAATTGTGTTCATGGTCCACAAACATATATTATAATGACACAGTGTAAGACTGCCACATGTAAAAAACAACCACTTTCATCCTCAGGTGGCCTTCTTAGACAATTTTGACAGTATTTAGTAATTTTATGGAGTATTTCTTATGTATCATTGTTGTTTTGCAGTGGTACTTTGGGTGCTTACCATTTTCTCAAAGCAAAGACACGGGAAGGCAAGGACAAGGAGCAGCAGCTGTTAAAGGTCATGACCCTCAAAGAGTACGGCTTCATGATTGTTCATCGTCTGGTCAGGTGAGTAAGCGGTACTAAAAAGAGTTTCTTGTTTACCCAACTTTCCTGAAATTCCTGAAATATGAGATGTTTATTCTGCTTTGTTTCTTTAAATCTAAACAAGCGAACCTATTTCGATAGTTCTTCATCTAATGAATGAAATCCCGGTAAAAGAGACCTGTTTTCGGCAATTGCTGAAAAGTAATTTGACGTCAAAGTCGTTGTAAAGGAATGTGCCCGAGCAGCTGTCAGCAGCTCACTGGCACAGCAGTTCCGACCGCGAGCCCCTGGGAGCGGCTTGCCGGAGATAGAGTTAAGATACTATCAATTACTTCATGTGATAAAGAACTGAGGTCGCCCGATTCCACCGCATCATGACACAATTCATTAATCACTTATGTTGTTCATTGTCTAGTATTTCTGATCATCTAAAGTTATATTTTATTAATTTCATTTACTTTTTGCTGTCTGACGGTACAAATATTCTCCATTCTGTATCCCAGAATTTTCCCCTGTTACGCTGTGCTGCTGATTCTAGGCACGAACCTGATGCCATATCTTGGCAGAGGCCCTCGCTGGTCGTACGAGATCGACAACGTCAAAATCTGCAAGCAAAACTGGTGGTCCAACGCATTGTTCATCAACAATTTTTATGACCCTGATAACATGGTGAGATGTTGGATATTTAAGTCTTCTCCCCCCGTTTTTAGTGGATTCTAAGCCAGAATTTTTATTGTTCGTATGCTGGCATACTGGTTTGGTGTTAGACCACATACATGCACTCACACATGCACACACACACACTCACACTCACACTCACAAGCAAGCATGTGTACACACTACATACACACAGACCCACATACACAAATATGCATAATCACACACTCACTCTCTCACACACACACTCACACACACTTGCACATGCATGCACACACACACTGTGGATGGAGGGATGACGAAAATTACGTCTCAATACATCTACTGAAGTCCCCTTCTAAAACCATAACAGTAAATTAAATGTGTTGTGAAATCCAGATTAAGAAGAACTTTCGTTTATAGAAATTAACATTAAATTTGGCAGTGTCAAACTACAAGCATCTGTCAATGTCTTTTCTGATAAAGGTTTAATTTAGGGTTCCATGTAGAGTTTAATTGACTTACTGCACTTATCCACTCTCTCTGTGGGGCAGACACTGGATTAGCCATGACGTCTTGCACAAAAACAGTGTGAACTTATTTAAAGGAGGTTTGGAGGGAGACTTTAAGTAGACCTTTACTGATTCTATTTAAAAAAATTAGATGTGTAATTTTATTTTGTTTTGTCTTTTATTTCTTCCAGTGCCAACCTCACACATACTACCTGGCCAATGACTTCCAGTTCTTCCTCATCTCACCTTTGGTGCTTATACCATTGCTGATGTGAGTGGGTTACTTCTGTATGTTTTGTATATTATTATGGGGGTGGGAAGGGGGGATGATGATGCATCCCACTTGGCCTAATTTGGCCCCTATAATGGAAGTTGTGATAGTAGTTGTATACGTTTAACACTTTCCAGTCACTTGGCGCAATAATGCGACGGTGAAAATTATCCGTTCCGGTCACCTTGCGCAGTTCTGCACCAGGCCCGAGAAGTCGGTTGCATTCCCTCTCCTGGCTGGGTGACAAGATGGGGTATTTTGTGCTGCTAGCTGTGTGACTGCAAAGTGTTAATGTCCCTATCAACATTGTAAACTTATTCAAGAGGTTACTTAGACTTATATAGACTACCATGTCTTGAAATGCATGAGGCAACCAGGAAGATCCGTCTCCAGTTAAGGCGGGCACCTCACTCAAGTTCTTGTTTCCTAAGTTAACCCTCTATATTGGTATTTTTGATATTTTGGTATTTAAGAGTTGGGACCTCCAAATTTAAAATCCATCTCCGATGGCACCAAGCTTTGTTTGTGGGTGGAGAGCCTTGAAAACTACCTGTTTGTCTACTTTGAGTTCACTTTAATCCAGAACACTTCACTAACTGACACGAGCACAAGAATAACCGCTCACCACACGAATCTCGGACAGCAACTGAACTTTATTACTCACCCCACTATTCTTGTTCTTCTTGTTCTTCTTCATCTTCTTTTTCTTCTTCGTCTTTTTCTTCTTCTTCTTCTCTTTTACTCCTCCTCCTCCTTCTCCTCCTTCTCTTCTACCTCTTCCTCCTCCTCTCCTCCTACTCCTCCTCTTCCGGAAGTTGCTTCTTGAACCTTTGTGCAATATCTCTTGCCATTCTGTTTTATGTGAATGTAACCAACATAATCTTCTTGCCTTTCACTTTCAGCAAACCCAAGCTAGGCCTGGGACTGATAGGCTTCCTTGTGCTGATCCAGATTGTGGTGGTCAGCGTGCTCAACCAAGGCATCAATGGCAACGTGTTGCGGTGAGTATTATTCCTTCTTTTTATTTCATGTCAGTGTTGGTCTTGTTGAAGATCTACCACACTACGGTGGTTTAATGTTAGTCTCGCCCACTCGACCACGGTCTATTACGATCAGGTATAAAGCATAGCACAAGTCCCCCCTTGTTGGTCAAGGTAACGATAGCGCTGGGGGCATTTAGATCAAAGGTTGTGACATTTACAATTGTAGCATGTGGGTGGGTGGATTGCTTCATTTTGTGGTGTCTTTAAGATCAAAGAATTTTACAGTTGTAAAGATTACAATAGGCAAGTAAGTTACAGCAGCAAGTGACCAGACAAGACTATTTTCATGATGCAATCAGGGAGGAGGGGGGGGGGGCAGTTCCCACCCTCCCCATTCCTCCTTATTTTCCATAGAAGTTCCATTCTCTGAAGAAATGGATGGACAGCAGACTGAAAAGCGAGCAATTTCCAAAATGAATATAGTGTTCGTTTCATTAAAAAGCATTCAGAACTGATGGCATGGCTCTGTTCCTTCCAGGGGCTCTTTATGAGTGTAACTCTAACCTAGTACCTTTATCCCTTCATTGCTGAGACGTTTCCATCTACGTTTATACGGAAAAGATAAATTGTTCATTCAAGAAATTTAAACAAATCCACATGGATGGTTGGTGGGTGCTCTTGTGTAGTCTGCTCCTTCTTTCCCACCAAACATCTATCGTCTTTGTCTATCCTTCTTCAGTTTTGTGTTTGTTAATTTCTTGTAACACCTCTAATCAACGCCATTTATATGAACATATTTTATTACAAGTGCAGTAAAACACTTATTAAAACAGAGCAAATTAATAAAAATAAATAAATAAATAAATAAATGAATAAAACAAAAGCCACAATATCTCTATCCCTATTTGAGAATAAGTTACTGCACAAACTGTAATGGCATCTTTTACATCATCCGTGATGGACCAGTAGAAAAAAATGGGGGAGAACCATTTTTTGAAAACACGAATGAGTAAGTGTTCATCTTGTTAGCAGTAAAGGGGTTGTACAAACAGAATCACGGCAAGTTTGTGAACAAGATCATTTTTTTTTTACATTCCAGAATGAAAGAGAACAACTACTGGTCCATTCTGTATGTGAAGCCGTACAGTCGTATTGGAGTTTATGCCATAGGAATGGGTCTAGGCTACTTTCTGTTTGTATGTGACAGACAGATGAAATTCAGACAGGTGAGTTTGTGTCATGACGTGGAAGAATTAGGTGCCCACCAATTTTGGGCTTATGGTATAATTTTAATACTTCTTCATTTGTCTTGCTTTTGGTGTCCAAAATACCTGTCTATCTTGAAGAAAAGTTGAGATATTTGAGATTGATGGAGGTGGGGGTCGCTTGGTGTCAAAGGTAAAATTAGTAAGAAAATTGCTGCCTGAGTTTGGTGACTTCCAATCTTGAGTGTCCATGGAAACAGCAAAATTACATTTTTTGTGCCTTTGATCAATGTTTTTAGTAGAATCTACACAGTAATGTGTTTTTAAATGGACATAATGGTATTAAGCTAAAAATGGCATTTTGATAAAAATTGACCAACAGCAGAAAAATATCGGTTTCTTAGATTTCAGTATTTTGATGAGCACCTAATTTCACCATAATGCCACACATAATATGTAATATTTACGAGATGAAGACCTGAGAACAACAACAAGGTTAAGTCACATTTTCCTAAAAACAGAGATCTGTGTATCATTCGAGAGGGGCGACAAAGAGCTATCTATTAGTAGCACTGAGGAAGCACTATTCTGTTCCTACACCCTGCAGTTATTCTTGTTCAAAGATGCGAAGCCTAAATGCAACAACAAAGTCAAATCGAGTAGAAAGTCTATTTAAGCCCTTTTCTCGGAACTTACTTGAATGTATTTCACGAATTACAGTTTTACTCATTTTCTCGAAACCATCTAAGTGTGACTTGACCTAGGTGTTGTTCTCAGGTCTTCAATATATAGTCATACTTTTTCAGGTCTGATACACACAACATAATTAAGTAAAGTGTAGATAGAGAGCCATTGTGAATGGGATAACAGCAGAAAGTCACTTCCAAGTTCCTTGTATTAGCTAGGTTTAGGCTTATCACTTGTAAGGGACCCATCAAAAGAGGTATGATGGTAAAAGGGACCCTCCCACCACCAGGAGGTAACAAGAATCACTACAACAAGTTTTATCTCAAAGAAATGAGATGGTGGTTGCATCACTTGTGTCATTGGGGGTTTAAAACTTCTGCATCTGATTTTTCAACGACCAGTAATGGTGTCGATATGTATCTGACCTCTGTAGTGGGTGGTTGGTGTGTACTCTGGTGTTGTTTGCTCCTTCTTTCCTATCAAACGTCTGTCGTCCTTATCTCCTCTCCTTCTTTTTTGTGTTTGTTTTCTCTTGTAACACCTCTAATTTTCGACACTTATACTTTTATGTGACCTTATTATTAGAGCTGGGCAATGAGTCGCTTCAGCAAAATCCGGATAATATTTTAGTGCACCTCTTCGGCTAATAATATGATATGAACCGCTTCAGCAAATGGGTTAGAACCACTTTGACAAACGGGTTATCATCACTTCAACAAATGGGTGCTCCTACTTCGGCAAACGGGTCAGGAAAGAGAGTTAGGAGTCTGAAATTGGATAATGTTTCATTGAAAATTATCCGGTTATCCTTTCGGATTATCCGGATTTTGCCCACCTCTACTTATTATATTGCAAGTGACGTAAAGCTTTAACAAAATCTAAAACTAAAGCTTCTCTTTCCTCAAAAACTCTAACGGCAGATTCCGCTGTACCTGGGCTGGTTTCTGACAGTAATAGTGTGCGTGACCTTGCCCTATGCCACGTACGTGGAGAACAGAGAGAAGGGTCAGCCCTGGTCCGGCATCGAGACGGCGTTCTACGAGGCGTTCTCCCGACCGGTGTGGGGACTGGCGCTGTCCTGGGTCATCTTCACCTGCTCCACCGGACAAGGAGGTCGGTTGTGCGAATGTGGTGTTTTTTGTTTTTGTTTTTGTTTTGTTTTGTTTGTTGTGTTTGTTTTTGTATTTTTTTCCCTTTCATTTCAAATGTAGAATGTTTTAATAACCCCCATCAGCACAATTTAGAAAATATAGGAAGTGAATGTTAGCTTTTGTTTGCTCTTTTTGGATTTTTATCAAGGGTGACAGATCAGGAGAATGTAGCTGTTTTGAGAGCAACCAAGTAAAGAAATGATCACTGATGTCTGTCGTAGATTTGTCACTTAATGATGATGATGAATGAGAACAATTTTCTACAAGATCTTGTGTTTTGGAGAGAATGTCATCTTCACTTACTTTTGTATCTTAGACTATTTGCTACTCTAGAATTACAAAGTTCTATCTGTTCAGTTGGCCTACCTTGTTTTGAAAGATCTGACATTAATGTCAAGCTTTTTTTCATGCTATTCTTTGAATACCCCATTAACAACTCGGAATAATCTTACTATTTATTTGATAGAGCAGATAGAACATTCGGTTTCTGACCCCATGGTCTTAGTAACTCAAAACGGCCAAAAATGTCAGATATTACTTTGTAATTCTAACGTAGCGTATTACCCTTTTTCCTTCCCCCACACCTTCTCCCTCCCCATTGTTTTAAAACCACATACCTTTCACCTTACCTTCTTCTTCACTTGGAGATATCCTCCCCACCTTCCTCTCCAGTGAGGTGGAAGCAATACAGATCGACTCGTTGCACACTAACTGGAGATACAACTTGTCTAATGGTAGACTAGCTCATATTTGTGTGCGCACAAATAAAAATAATAATAAATGATAAGTAGCTTTTGTATAGTGCATATCCCTGCTCGACAGCAAGCTGTATGCACTTTACACACTATATTTGATACCCCAGCAGACCATAAAACACTCAGAAACATTCTCAGTGCGCTCATATGACCTTATGCTGTTGCGAGAACCATAAAACTCTAACTACACAACAACAAACATTCTCAGCTTCCCATGTATGTTCATGGTAGTTTCTTTGGGTCAATACTTCTGCCTTCTTGCCCCCTCACCAGCTTTTATGGTATCGTGATTAGCAGGTGCTTCGTTTTCACATGCGAAAGATTTGAGTTTGATTCCCATGTGGGGAGAAGTTTTATTGAGTGTCTTTTTCTTTCTGCTTGAACATTTTTTTTCCTTTTCAGGACAGGTGAGCCCTAACTGCAAGGTTGAAGTCTGTCTCCTAAATGTTCTAGTTTGTGTTGATCAGGGTGTTAAAATACTTACTTCAAAGAAAAAGAAAAAAAAAAAAAATCTAGCCTCTTCTTCCATCTTTTTTCATATTTTTTTGTTCTTTTATTTTTTCATCTTTTTTCCTTTTTCTTCCATTATTTTCCCATCTTTATCCTCTCTTCTTCCATCTCCCCCCCCCCCCCCCCCCACCCTTCCCCATTCTTCTTCAGTTTTCTAATATACTTTGAGCATGTTGCATTCATTGCTGTCATCAACAATTTATTCAGATATGCATAGTGTCTCATTCATTGTTTTCTTTAACAGGTTACATAGATGTGCATAGTGTCTCTTTCAATGTTTTCATCAACAATTTACTCACATGTACATATTGCCTCATTCGTATTCATTGTTTTCATTAATAATAATCAATAATCATCAATAATTGTGAGGCAGAGTGGTGAAATCAGGTGCTCGTCAAAATAATCAAAGTGAAGAGACTGGCATTTTTCCACGAATTTTCATTTTTTGGCCCAGCACCTTTCATATCCACTACAGAACACTATTCTGTGTGGAATTTTAATAAAAACATTGATTATAGGCACAAAAAATATAAATTTTTCAGTTTCCACTGACTCTCAAGCTAAGGAAATAACTCATCTTTGGCAGCCATTTTCTCACAAATTTTATCTCTGAAACCAGGTGACCTTCACCTCCTTCATTCGCATATGTCTCAATTTCTATTCAAGATAAGTGGATATTTTTTTCATCCAAAGCAAGACAAATGCTTTATTTAAGATGATACCAATACTTCTACGTGCCCAAAAATTGACGAGCGCCTGATTCCGCAGCATCGTGACACAATTTACTCTCATGTTGTGTGTGTTTTGCATCCAGAGTTTTCACATGTGCACAGTGTCTCTTCCTCAGCCTTTATCGGCAAGTTTCTCTCCTGGAACTTGTTCCTCCCGCTCTGTCGCATCACGTACGGCGTGTTCTTGCTCCACCCAATCATCATCGCAGTGGTCATCGAGTCGTCACACTTCAACTTCTACCTCAATTTTGGAGAACTGGTGAGTAAGAAAGGTTTTTACGGCGCTCACAACTGCATAAGGTCCTATATGAGCGCCAAGAGGTGGATGTCTACAGAGAAGTCCAAACGAGGAATCAGGCTTACTCTGCTCACCTCTCTAGCCTCAACAGCACAAAATCTGCTTCGACTATCAAGGCACCCTGAAAATAGCAGTTCACAAGAGAGTGATAAACATACAAAAGAAGTAAGGGAAAAATGACGATAGAAAGGATGAGGAAAGAAAAAGCAGCAGTTCCCCCTATGTTTTTCCGGCACAGTATGAGCATGACATTGATAAATCAGCCCATTCACAATTCTACTGTGCATAAGAACATGTTAATATCCCCCCCCCCCCTTTGAGAATGGCCTAAAGACACATCATTCAGTAGCACTGTCCAGATGTGCTGGGACTGGCATCTGTGGTGGAGGGGATGGGTGCTCTGCTGCTGCACACAGGAGACCCGAGTTCAATTCCGGAGTGCGTAAAAATTTTTGGTCGAATATCTCAGTCTTTCTGCTGGGATGTTGTATCCCTTTCAGTATGGGTTGGCTTTTGACAGGCAGGTTGTATGCCTGCTTCTTAGGTTGTGTCGAATTTATTTTTAAAAATATTTGTTTTGGGGGGGGGGGGGGGGGGGGGGGGGGAGGTGAGAGGCGTAAAAAACGCCTACTTTCACCAAAAAAAAGTAAAATGATCTGCAGTTGTAGATTTGTGCATTTCTGCATGTTGTTTAGTTTTAGTAGTTTAGTTTTAGTAAGAGTTTTACAATTAGGTTGGAAAGAAGGAGCAAACCACACCAGAGCACCTGCTAACTTCCCACTCTGTACATGTACCAGGTATGTTGTTAGGTAGATTAGTCCATCTGTCTAACACGGACACTTTTCTCCTCCGCAAAATAGTTGTGACTGTGTATATGAGAGGCAGTGTGGTGGAATCAGGCTCTCATCAAAATAATAAAAGTGAAGAAACTTGCATTTTTCTGCAGGTTTGTGAATTTTTGTCAAATTTTCGTTTTTTTGGCTCAACACCTTTCATGCCCATTAAAGAGCTCATTTTTGTGTGGATTTTTCTGAAAAACGCTGATTAAAGGTACAATAAATATAAACTTTCATTTGCCACGGACTCTTAAGCCCAGGAAATAACTAATCTTTGGTGGCCATTTTCTCACTAATTTTACCTCTGAAAACAGGTGACCCCACCTTCTTTATTCGCAAATATCTCAACTTGTATTCAAGATAAATGGATGTTTTTTTCATCCAAATAAAGACAAGTGAACAAGCTTTAAGATGATCCCGATAACTCTACTTGTCCAAAAATTGACGAGAGCCTGATTCCACCACGCTGCCTCACATAATATGTAATAATAAACATGATCCCTCTCCCTGCCTTCCCTCCTCAGTTGTACACGTACATCCCTCTGTTTGCCTGCTCGTACGCCTTGGCGTTTGTCCTCATCTCGTGCGTGGAGTGCCCCTTCACGTCGTTTGAGAGCTACCTGCGACTTCGCTACAAGACCTGGAGGAGCAACAGAAAGTTGAAAAAGTTTGTTGAAAGCTGCCCGACGGATTCATCCGCATAAAGAAGGATGGGTAAAAGTAAAGAAAACGGCCCTCAAAGTCAAAGAAAATTTGTCTTCTGCTCATTTCGTTCCACTGTTCGTTTTTCACTCCTTTGCACAAGTAACTAGGAACAAGGGCAGCCAGTATGTTTTTCTTTCACTCCCACACACAGATGCACTGCTTTCGGGGGCCAAACAACTCTATTTTTTGCAGTAGATCGCACATACGACCACTAAAACTGTCACAAATCAGTTATTTCCAAGAAAACAAGAGCATTTTAACCCTATCCGTATGCCCTGGGGTCATTTTGTACCCTCGGGATTGTATTCTTCACATTTTAGAATACCTCTAGTACGAAGATCTCTTTGAAACTTTCAGTATTTCTCAACAAATCTTTTTGACAGACTGCTATGCAAAGCGTACGGATCGGATTTACGAGTAAATTTCCTCTTTGGAAAGGAGTGGCACAGAGTTCCCCCACGTCGTATGGATATGATAGTAAAACGTGACGTACAGATAGGGTTAAATCTAATTTCAAAACTTCAAACTGAAGGGAAACCTGAACACCCAACTTCTTTTTTTCTTTCACCTCAGGGGGGCATGCAACTCCTGAAACCCCACATATTGGTATATTGGTCTCAGCAGGGGAAATTACAACACACCTTGGCTAAGCGAAATATTACTCAAATAATTATCATTTTGCCCGGTGTCGCGAAAAATTACCTCGGTAATAATCGAGGGAAGGCTTTATACCAGCGACCCAAAATGTCATGTATGGAAAGGGGTGGCTCCTTTATTAAGTGTACTGGGTCAAGTAGGGGATGTTTTTTGGCTGAATGATGATTAGACCACAAGACCTCAGGATGGGATCAAGTTACATTGGGAAACTATTACTTGAATTACTTGAACCTAGAATTGGGGTCTTAGGAAGACGGAATGCTCCATGCTTCCTCGCCTCTCTTCATGAGGGTTCAGTACAGTTTGGGCAGGCTGATTGTCTCCATCATCAGCTGGTTGTTGTAGCGTCTGATGGGGTCACGCAGCCTGCTCCTCCTACCTTCACCAGGCTGCACACCTTTCCCAATCACAACCTCCTTCGTGAAGGAGTCCTCGTTTCGGCTGCTGGCTAGGTTTTCTCGGACAAGGGCTACTACAGTTGGAGGGTCAAGGGTAAGCACTCTCTCTGTGTGCATGGAGGTCAAGGCCTTCACTGAGGCTCTGAAATGGCTTTGCACTAATGGATACCAGCAGACTACCTTTGTTACAGACTCAATGAGTACTCTGGATAAGATCTTGATCGGCAGCCTCTATGCGAAACCAGTGTGAGTCTCAAACTCATGTGGAAGATATATGTCCTGTTTATATTATATCTGTTTGTTTTTTAGATAGTTGTTCATTGGTCAAAATTTTCAAAACTCCCATACCCATACTTGTTTAATGAAGTTTGTGGATTTTTTAGCTATTTGGATATGTGGGATTTTTTTAACAGACCAGATCATTTTCTTAGCGTACACCCACCCAGTTCTTTTCACGTACCTTTTTTTTTAGCATTTTGTCCTTTTTATTTTTCGTGAACCTTTTGAATTTTCAATTTGCATTGCCCAGTGTCATGTATGCTGTCTGAAGTACTCCTAGATGTATACTGGTAGCTAAACAGCCATCTCATTTTTAAGTGCAGTTAAAATCCAGTATCGTGCAGTGCAGAAAATGAGTTCAAAGAAAACACCAGGTACTTTATACACAAAGACCATTTGGTGCACATTTTACCAGTGCATGTGGGTGGTTGGCGGGTGCTCTGGTGTGTCTTGCTTCTTCTTTCCTATCAAACATCTATCGTCCTTATCTCTCCTTCTTTTTGTGTTTGTTACTCTCTTGTAACACCTCTAATCTTCGCCACTTATAATGATCTTATTGTGTTGCAAATGCTGTAAAACACTTACTAAAAAACCATTACCAGTGCACGCAGATATGATATAACATAGCAGTTTCCTTCTGAATTCTTGTGAAAGTAATGAATGTACTAGTATTGGACAGGGCTGTAGACTGGTTGCCTTGTATTGTAAAATTGGCGAGTGGTAGAGAGAAAGGAGAGAGAGAAAAAGAGATCAAGAGATGGAGAGAGAGGGAGAGAAAGAGAGAGAGAGAGAGAAAGAGAGAGAGAGAGAGAGAGAGAAAGAAAGAGATAGAAGGAAAAAACCCAAACAAACGGATAGTCGAAGAAAACATACAGAAGTAGTAACGTTCAAATAACACTTTAATAACGGCAAAACTTGCGTAGTACTGAGCAAGATCTGCAGCCTACTTCTTGTAGTAACACTCATATAACATTTCAGCTCTTACATCCTCAGGAGCATATGTGTGGCACCGTGGTGAAATCAGGCGCTCGTCAAAATAATGAAATCGAAGAAACTGGCATTTTTCCGCCTATTTCGTAGGACTAATTTTTTTCAATTTTTTTATTTTTGACTCACCGCCTTAAAGGTTCATGAAAAATATATTATTTATGTGTGGATTTTACTGAAAAGCGTCGATTTAAGGCTCAGTAAATGTAACACTGCAGTTTCCAAGGGCTCTCAAGCTTTGGAAGTCCCACATTTGGCGGCCATTTTCTGGTGAATTTTACCCCTGAATCAGGCAACCCCACCTCCTTCAATCGCAAATGTCTCGACTTCTATTCGTGACAGATTGGCACTTTTTTCACTAAAAGCAAGGAAAATGAATACGCTTGAAGGTGATACCAATAACTCCACATGCCCAAAAATTGACGAGCGCCTGATTTCGCCACGTCGTGACACATATATATTTTACTCAATCCTTTCCCCTTGGCCCAGTGGTGAATATTTCCCTCACAAGGCACTGGCCACTGTTAACTCAATTGTGTACTACTTCAGTAGTATATCCAATTGTCTCCGAAAAATATTCTACGTGTTATCGCTTAAAACTTTAGAGAAATGCAGTGTATAAATGTTTTTTATATTTATCTGCAAAAAATTAAAGATGCAGTCGGTATCGGCTGGGCGTCAGAAGTCATCAGGGCTTGAGGGAATTGAGGGCTAAAAATAGTCTGGTGCTGTAAGGGTGAATAATCTGGAAATGAAGAGTTCTCTTTCAATGCAGTAGTACCCTTTTAAACATTTTTAACTCTCACATACCCACCCACCAACATGAACACACACAAACATACTCGCACACCCTTACACACATAAAGGCTCCACAGCTCACAAAAAATTGTTTGCCCTGAATTTTCTTCAAGAGATATTTTTTCTCTAAGGGAAGCTAACTATTTTGGTTTTCCTTTGCGTTTCATTTGGACTTTGGAGTATCTAAAACTTCATAACATATGTATTGTTTGTTCACATTATTTCTGAGTGATCTATGAATGATAAGTGTTTTTAGAAAGGAATGTAGATGTTTCAAAAGCTGTACATGCATGTTTATTTTCCTGTGTATAAACTGTACAATTTTTTTACTACTTGTAGAAAAGGTTGTGTGTGTCTTAATGCACAAATATCCCTCAGGATCACTGTCCGCTTTGTATTTTCAAAGGAGATACATTCCACAACTTTTTCTATCATATTTACTCAAATATTTAAACATATCTATCTTTTTTCTGTATTGTGTGTATTTATGTCGGTGTTGTTTAAAATATACATATCTACTTTTGTAAAGTTCACAGCCAGAGAGTGGGAGAGTGCAGATGGTAGATGTTACTTGTTTACTTTCCCTCCGTCGTTTGTATCTCTCTGGTTTGCTCTTTTTCAACACTGAGTAATTGTTTTTGTATCAAGGTGCCTCTCTTTCTCAAACAAACTTGAATTTTTACAATATACCTGAGGTTTTTTGTATTATGAATATCTGAATTTGTTTTATACATTGTCATATCCGATTTCGCTAAGGATCCATGTACTGCGTATGTTTGTATGTATGTATGTATTTATTTATGTGTCATTTTGAGAAAAATCTTTGAAACTTTGAATGGCCTTTCCTCACCTTCCAAATAGGGTACAGTACAGGCCTGTGCAAACATTTATCTATCTCATTTCTTTAAACTAAAATCACCAAACCTTGCATATTAGCTGTACACTAGCCATACTTACCTGTAAGTTCTGTGTATAAGTGTTTACTTCTCCTTCCAAAATAGTAGACTGGTTTGTACAGGCATTAACCCTGTCCCTTCCTCATAAACTGAAATTTCAAACCTTACATGTCATGTATCAATTTGCCTGACATACCTTAGGTGGGTCCTACATTATAAGGAGTATGAGGTAAAATATTATGTTTGCGTTTTTTCTTTTTCTCTTTCTTTCTTTCTTTTTTTTTTTTTTTCTTTTTTGTAATGGTAGTATAGACTCTCAGATTATTCTTATGATTCTTGATCTTGTCAGTCAGCGTGTCAGAACTTTTGACGGCTCTATTTATCAAATGCTGTGATGTTTGTCAATTGCACCACCGATTATTCATCAACATTCGTGTGAACAATTATTTTTGTTAATATCATGGTCAAGGAGTTTAATGATCTTTGAATTTGTTTAAGATTTTTTTGATGTTAAGTATTTTACAAAGATGAGCATTGTTACACATTTGTGAGGCAGCATGGTGGAATCAGGCTCTCGTCAATTTTTTGGCATGTAGAGTTATTGGTATCATCTTAAAGCTTGTTCACTTGTCCTTATTTGGATGAAAAGAAATATCCATTTATCTTGAATACGAGTCGAGATATTTGCAAATGAAGGAGATGGGGGTCATCCATTTTCAGAGGTAAAGTTAGTGAGAAATGGCCGCCAAAGTTTAGTTATTTCCTTAGCTTAAGAGTCCGTGGTAACTGAAAATTTACATTTTTTGAGCCTTTAATAGACATTTTTCAGAAAAATCCATATAGAAATGAGTTCTTTAATGGACATGAAAGGTGTTGAGCCAAAAATCAAAATTTTCTAAAAGTTAAAAAACCTTCAGAAAAATGCAAGTTTCTTCACTTTGATTATTTTGACGAGAGCCTGATTTCACACGCTGCCTCACATTTATGTTTATAGGACATCAGGAGCATTTTAAAGATTTTTGATAAAGAGTGTTTAACAGA